GACGGCTCTGAATATGCATAAATAGTACCCGTAGGAACATAAGCGTGCTAACACGAAAACAAATTATGAATTTATATTAATTTTTACTATTGCAATACACGGGTCCGTTCTACTCCGTACTTGGCTGGTTTATTTTTTTTTCTATTGTAAAGAAAGAACAATAAAATGCTATCGCAGTGCGTATCCGTTGGATATAATATTCTCCGTTTAAATAAATGCTCGGCACTAATAACACACAGACGTCACAAACACACAGCTGTACTATCCCCTAACCGAATATCTCTCACGTGCCGGGACTTTGGCGGTATGCGTGGCACGCGTTTAATAGTCCCGTGTCGACGACCTTGCCCAATACTACTACCGAACCACACAACGTCGTGATCGTATGAATTTATTAAAAAGACGGCATTTTTTTTTAAATTTTATAAACGCATTACAATACTCGAGACACTATAATTAGTTTTTGCGTTCAAAATAGAAAATGTACCTTAACCTTAAGCTTTCCGGTCACTGGCTTCTAATTCCGGGCTGTGAAAATATAGTCTCGTTGGGTCCACCGGGATTCTGTATTTTGTAAATCGATCTTGGTCTCCAACATTCCAAGTTCCAGTCTCTGTTGTCTACATGCATTTGCCCCCTCCCTCCCTCCGAATCAGCCGGAGCCCGATACAGGGGTATTTAATATGATAATAAGAAATTGAAAAAAAAAATGTATTACTAAATTCCAAACGGTAAACGCATAGTAGAATACACTCGAAAAATGTAAATTGAAACAGAATTTTTGTGAAGTAAACGGATCGGGCCAATATTTTTGTTGGAATATTTGTCTGAGTTTGTTGCGATTAGGCGTGTCATCAAATATCATGACGTTTTTCAATTATTTTACATGATGGCCTTCGGCCATATATGTTAATTCAACGTTGTTTTGTTTTGTGGTTTTCCCCAAAGTTTTTACTGTATTTTCTGGATTATACCCATTATTGAGCCAGCTCATTAGAAGAACACCCCATGGGTTTATCCGGCTTATTATAATCATATAGTATATTATTTTTAGGCAATTAGCATTAGACTATTATATTATGTTATTGCGATATTATAATATTAAAATAATAGTATTATAATATTACACTGAAATACCACAGAGGACAGCCGATCAGGCATATTGTTGGGATTTCGACAGATCTATAATGTGGACGTTAAATAGGTATAATCGAGTTTAAAGAATACGTTTATAATAACCACGTATTATTATATACTTTTTTTTAACGTGGACACAGTTTTTTTTATTATTGTTTTCTTTTTAACACTTCGATTACACGTCATGCTCAAAGCGCAGTTTATTATTTACCTAGTTTTTTTTATCGCGAATTATGCCTCTGCCGATTAGATTAGAACGGCTTACACTAATAACAATAACAATAATAATTCAAAGCGGTCGTTGGAAAGCTCGAGGGAAAGATTAGTTGTCTTAATGGAAAACACAGAAGGTCTAAAATTTAGAACTACACTTACCTTTTTTTCTTGTTTGCAGCAATTAAAAAACAATTCATTATTTTAAATACATTGAATATTATTAATAATCAGGTAGGTATAACAATTAGCCATTAGATATTAAATGTATATATTTACATACTTAGAAATAATATTTTTCTTCAAACGTTGACTTCTAATTTATAAAAAAAAATTAAAAAAGAGGGAGCTAAAGTAATTCTAAAACGTACTTAAACGAATTCGTTCAAAACAAATATGTTATTTAACTGTAGTCTGTATAATACTATAGGTACATAAACATTTTAGTAAAATATTTAATGGTACTAAACCCTCAAAATTAAAGGTTGTCGACAGTTTTAGTTCAAATATAGCACATACTTATAAATATAAATAATAATAAGTTATACATAACCATACCTTAGTTTTTAGGCAATGAATTCGTGATTTATGCAATAAAAAACTGACACGTCCTAATTTGGCCTTTAAATATTTCGTGGGCCTACTCTTATATTGTAATTTGTGATGATACGGCTTAAGGTAACTAACTATTTGATGACAACTTTGATCTCAATGAATATTGTATAATATAAATACACTGAAAAATTCAAGTAGACACTAATCAATTAAAATTATTAGAACCATGATATATTTTTACCTGTAATTTTTTTTCGATTTTTAAATGACATGTTGCACAAAAAACTAATGAAACCACCCAATAGAACACATTGGATGTATACTACTTTGTTTTTGCTTAGTCGCAGGGCTCCATTTCACTAAGACAAGAGGGGTTGCTTCAGAAATGGAAATATTTGAAAATCCCGTATCCTCACTACTGTGGCATGAAACACACAATTTTGGTGGGCGCTAATTTCAAAACTATGGAGCTATGAAGCACGACCCCATAGTCAAATTCTACTGACAGTAACACCTAGGTCTTTTCTCACTCCGGGCCGCATTTGTTCTGATTATTTATCCACTCTAGAACTTTATGTACATTTTAGCAGTTTCAAACCAAAATCTATAATATTTCCAATGGGTGATGTGTGTGTGTTTATTTGACCTTGAAAGACTTTAGTCGTTGTCCCCGTACTGGCTGACCCTCACCCCACAAAAATAACGGGGTCAGGCATGGAGTTGTGTGTATAGAGTATATACAGACGGCAATAGAAAGCCCGGCCTGTATGGTTACTGTGTACATTGCATATGCACAATATATACACATTTTGTAACCCTCGTTCGTCGCACACAAAAGGGAAACACTACTTTTTCCCCTCGATTTTTAGGGTGCAGTATAGACACTATTATATGTATACAAACGTGATTGGTAAACGTCGCGAAGCCTATTAAGCAGGTAAGGCGAGGAATCGAAAATGGAGGGGGTAGAAAAACGACACGAACGCTTATGGGAAATGAGTGGGTTTTCGATAAAAATCTATTTTGTTGTATTATTTTCTTAACAACCGAGACCCGAGAGGAATATTTTAAATAATTATATCTTATAATAAGTAATATCCCTCGCGACTCATAAAAATCCCGTGTATACTATTGACAAATAACTCCCAGGAAGTTTCTATATTGCTTCCGATTGTCCACGCCTAGAAGACTGGAACTCCATAGAATCGGTTGTTAGGAAAAAACTACAGTCAACAGTTATAATGTTACACGTTTAATAAAAGCTTTATTTTTTAATAATAATAGTTATCCATTAATAGTAGCTATTGAATTTTCCACTATGAAAATACCGAGAAAAAAAATTGTGTACTTGAAATTGTTTGGTAGTAAGTACTAAATCATTAACAAATTTAATATTTTATTGAGTCCCCTGCGAAAAACTACTTGTCCCTTAATTCCCATTGAAATCATAATTAACCGATTCCTGTAGTATGTAGAAACTCGAGAATCACTGTGCTGTGTCAGATTTATCTAGATTTGTGTATCTTATCAATCTAAAAATTGCACCAAATAATCTAAACTCCAACATAAAAATTATAAAAAAGTAGTTAACATTAATCGGTCTATAAACCCACTCGGTGATTTTGCGACAACTACCTATTTCCAAAAATCGTTCATGTTTCTACTGAAAATTAAATACCTAATATATTCCCACGCAAGTGAAGAAAAAGTTATAGCGTGTCCTGATCATCTATTTTGTATTTTACTTTGCGATAGATAGTAAAAAAAGAGTTCTAAATGGCCGTAACACTAAATTGAAAAAATTGTATTTTTCAAAAAAAAAAAAAATTACATCTTCAAATGTTTTAACTTGAATATAATAAAAGAGAATACAAGTGAAGTTTTTTGTTTTTCGTGTGTATTTTTTTCGTCGTTTAAAAAATGATATTTTATAAAACAAAAATCATTTCAGTTTTCGAAAAATCACTAAAAAAAGAACTGTGAACGGAATATTTTGGGTAATAACTACTTGAAATTCAGCACAAACCAATACTGGATAAGCTATGTGAACATTATACGAGTATAGTTAATTCCAAAATATTTTTGGAAAAACAATTTTTCATATTTTAAACAGCTGTTGCGTCACTTGCGTTGTTCAGTCTAGTCCTACCTATCCATCTCGTGGCGTTGGCCGACACAATCCAAATAGAGAATCTCCCACTCGGTCTCCTACCAGTAAAACTTGTACTCATAAACGAGAAATCTATTAGATTATATTTTTACCGTTTCATTTTTTTTTTTTTTGCAGCCACGACAAAAACGAACAAGCACAACACAGATAGGTTGGTGCACGACGCTAGCTAATGCATAATATTATACACATTAACGCGCAAAACATTATACAGTTGCCACCATGGAGTGTTTTGTTGTAGGTACCCCAATCCCGACGAGCGTGTGTTGTTGACGGTTTGCCAAACGAAATCCGTCAAGGTCGTTTTAGACCGTTGTTTAGGAGGAGGAGGAGGAGGAGGAGGAGGAGGTTAGGTTAATGCGACTATATTATTATACTTTACACAGCAGTCGTCCTCCCTACTATAGTTTGTGATCGTCATCGCCTAGTGTAAAAAAATAAAAAAATTAACAACAATAATAATAATAATGTTTTGTAAAGATCCGTTTTTCACGAAATATAATTATGTTAGTTAGACCGGTCTCCGCAAAAAAAAAAAAAAAAAAACCGCACAACACTCGAGCACATCCGATATAGCTCACACCTATATATTCCAAGCACGCAAGACAAAACACACATAACCGGTTCACCTTGACGTCATCAACACACACACACACACACACACACACACACACGGAGAGAGTGTGCCGTTGTCTTTTTCCCCCACCTCTAATTTTTTATAATATGACAATAACAACAAACATTTACATAACCCGACAAAAAAATTACGGGTTTTTTCCAGGTTGGGAGGAGAGAAGGTAATAAACCCCCCCCCAAAAAAAAAAAAATTACGTACTCGTTTCTTTTTAGGTTTTCTATAAAATAATCGTTTAATAAATTTTTTCATAAATAAAACATCACTTACGGTCGAGAAAAAAAATCACACAAAAGCCTTAACATAACTAAAAAAAAAAAAAAATAAATAATAATAATAATTTTTAAATCACAATAATCATTTTGCACACGATAAATAAAATTTTCTCTTACAATAATAATTACATTACATTTTATATTATTGTGTCTTAGAATAAAAAAAAAAAAAAATTGTATTTTAATACATAAATATATATCAGAATTCAAACATAATATTACGATTGCTATTTTTCTCCCCGCTTCGTTTACAATAATTATATGAACGTTTAATTAACATATTTTATAAATATTTATTCATTCACTTCGTTACAAAAGTAGAGCACCTAGGAACATAACTGCGATACACTTCGAGTCGTCTGCATTTTAAATACGGAGGGATAAAACACATAATATAAATATAAATACGAGAACAAGACAAACGCCTCAATATCGGCTCTCGTTTCAATATACAATTATAATTAAAATGGCATTACAAAAAATTATATGACTAAATTTACTTTGGCCTATTTTTTTATTGTCTGGTAAAAAGCTTAAAAGTATATAAATGTGTATTGCTAGTCAAGTTTTATTGCGTTGTTTTTTTATGTATAAAAGTACAATATGATATCACTTATAAAATATGGTGAAAACGTGGAACCCTCATTACACAAAGAGGCAACACTGGTACAAGGTGTTTCATACAAAAAATGACTTAAAATTAGGAGTTCCGTAAATATTAAATATGCATGTTCAACTGCGTTTAACAATAATAAAAAAGAAACAATTAATCCCATTTACATCTATCGACCGGGTATAAATTGAGCATTATACACGTTGAACGACATTTTAGGTAACGTGCAATCATTAATGAGTTTAAAAAAATAAGTATTTTTAAACAATTCGGTAAATAAAAAAAGTCTGACGTATGAAAGCTTGGTATAGTCCATATTAAATGTGATAATTTATTTGCAAACAATAACCGATAATCCAATAATCACACACGTTTGGCATTATATAAAAATTTGATTTTTTTTTTATAAATATTTATTATAATTTAACATGTAGGCCATAGGCTTATACAATAATAATACACTTTAGTTATACATATATATATATATATATATATATATATATATATATATATATATATATATAAAAAATTAAATACATATTTGAAATAGGCTACAAAGAATTGAGCAATTTTTGAAGCAATTCAACAGTTACACTTTTTTTTTTTTACTAGAAAAGTATGGAAAACTCACAGACAGGCAGGAAGTGTCATCCAAATTTAGGATGTATTTAATGGTAATGCCAATAGAATTGTTTTGTAACTGCAAAAAAAAAAATAAAACAACATTATTAGATATTTTGTTTGACAAATAATACATTTTTGTTAAATAATATTAAAAAAAAAAGCATTTCTTTTTATTAGACTACATTATAAGTTACTCGTTAGTACATCATTTTACTGAGGTCAACGTTTAACAATTAGAAACACCTCAATTAATATAATTATATGGTATTGGCATTATAGCACTTGACTAGGTAGAAAATTGAAGACTGAAGTGAAGACTAAACATTTTTAAATTAGTTTTAGGTAAAATATATTTATTCTCAAAAAAAAAAAAATTTAAACAACTATTCTGTGAAAATCAAACTTACGGGTCATAGGCAATTGACGGCAAACTCACAGCCATTGTGCATGTGTTCGACAACAGTCTGTTTTAATTGACAAATCTGTTCTAGGAGCCTGTTCAATACCGTGGTAAGTTCGCTGTTTTCGGTTTTTAAAATTTTCACTTTGTCTTCTAGTTTAGCAATGCGTTCCAGTTTTCTCCGACGGCACTTAGATGCAGCAACCCGATTCCTTTGTCGCTTGCGCTCCAGTTTGATTTTCTCTTGGGACTCCATGTTGATGGGCGACATTGGCGGCGATGACGATGCCACACTGGGTACGGTCTGGGGTTCCTCTTTGATGACGTGCTGAGGTATGATGTTGGAGAAGTCGTTGGGCGGCATCAGCACCGAGTACTGCGGTTCAGACTGGTATTCCGACGAATTGCTGCCGCTGCTGGTCATCGGTATGTCCACTTGGATGGCGCTGTTGGAGTCGTGGTTGCGCAGGCTGTGAAGCGCCTCGACAAACGGCTGTGCGTACATCTCTTGTTCTTCGGTTACCGACTTTGGGAACAACGACGGCGTGGGGGTGTTTATGAGGGGCAGGATAGACTGTTGGGACAGGTAGAATTTTTCCAGCTCTGGAGAGCTGAGCTTGAGCATACGCAAGTCCGGGGACGTCAGGAACGGTCCGGGGAATTTGGATTTTTTCGCAGAGTTCTCCGAATTGCAAGCGTTTAAGTCCAAAGTCATTGGCCTTTTCAACAGGTTCACCTCGCTCGATCCGTTCATTTTCGGCCTCACCGTTTGGTCGTCGTAGAACGCTTCGTCCAGCATCATGCTGTTGGACGAGTTATTCACCATTTCCGACGCACTTAATTAAATTTGTAAAAAAAAAAAAAACCGCACGGCACACAAGTCGCGAAACGATACAATCTGACACGCCGTACCCGTACGGTAACAAAAAAAAAAAAAATAATAATAATATAACACTATCACAAATCTTATTATAATATTATACTGATAAGGTTACGTCAAAAAACGTCTTGTGCGAGACGGCGCGGACAACGTTACGGGAAACACAGAAAATAACGAGACGACAGACGGTACGCGAATGAATGAACGTGCGAAGGCAGACCGCACACGGACCGCCGTCGCACGATGAGTCATCGGTTATTTTAAACCAGTACGTCACTTTGCGGCCGTCCCATTGGTCGGACGGTCGCCAGTGCGGACAAATGTGCGGACGCGAATCGTCGGGTACGCAACACCGGTAACGCATTTATCCGTGTTTGCCGGTGTTTTGCCGCATAAAATGTCTTTATAATACAAAATTATTGTACGCGGTACGCCGCGTTCAACGCTCAAAGCTCCAATAATTGGAACCGTCGTCGATCAACAAAAAACGTCCAATTTGTCAAATTTTGGCAAAAGCTATGAAACTTATCTTATAAACATTCATTATTGTAAAACGATAACTTAAAAAAAATATTTGTATTTAGTCGTCAATAAAATTGTTTTCAAGTCGTTACATTTTTAGAAAAGGAAAGAAGTTGAATACATGAAAAAAAGTATAAAATATCAATAAAAATCACAATGTATTATTTTTTTTTTGTTTTTACTAAATAAAATAGCGTCAATTAAAAAAAAAAATGTATATGCTAATAAGATCACTTACCTTCAGTTAAATTTTAAAGATAATGAAATCAAGTCTCTATCAAAAACTTCTTCTCTATCTTAAAAGCAAAATAAAGTTCCCACCTTTTTTGGCCAATGATATTATTGTCTTGAATTTTCACTGTGTCAAATTATATTTAAACAATATGCCACACAATTTTAGAACTAAATATTCTACAAATAAATGTAAAGCATTTTTTTTTTAAAGTTAGTAACCCTTTAAAGTGTTCCCTAATTTTAATTTTCTTAACACATACCGTTTACGACTTACGAAATATGAATTTTTAAAAATATGAGTGATACTTTTTTCAATATCTTAGTGAAAAAATGACAAACAATAAAAAAAAACAGGTGAAAACATTTGTGTGTAATTTTGTTTAAAATTCTTAAAAAAAATGTTTATTAATAATTCACCTAGTTTTATTGATTTAGATAATATACATTTATGTTACATAGTCTACAAATGTAACAAAATAAAAAAAAAATTGTTTTTTTATTTGTAAGAGTACTCTCATGTGCGTAGTTTGCTATGGGGCTACAGCCCCCCCAAAAACTTTTGTAGCCCTCTCACGGTGTTTACTTTCATTTAAAACATTTTATCCAAAATTTCAGTTATAAATATTTTTATGATTTTCTCTGAAATTCATCAAGGCTTCAAATATTAGCAGTGTAACTGCTGTTGATTGTACTTCATACTTATACCTATTTATTTTTATCATAACAATAAACATTTTTATTTATAGATCAAAGACCCGTTAACATAGGCGCAATTTCAATTTTTAACTTAGGGGGGGGGGCTGGACATTTTTTAAAAATATATATATAAGTAAATATATTTTTGTATTTCAAAATTGTATGCATAACCTAATTTTTTTTGGGGGGGGGCTAAGCCCCCTCCCACCGTATTTGCGCCTATGCCCGTTAATGACTTTGTATTAAACTTTTGCATTTACCCTGTGCGGTAGTCAGGTCGAGGTCGCGCATTGTCGCGTTGTCCGATGATAATATTATGACAAAACCAGAATTTGATCGTTGTACTGATAAATTAAAAATAATTTGGAAAGATATAAAATAATTTGCCAACAATTTGGAAATTTCTTTGGACATCTCCAAAAGTATATTTTAAAAACTTTTATAAATTAATTTATTATTTATCTTTTTAAATTCAAATATTGATACTTATAGGTTCAAAGCATAAAAAGAAAGAGCCAATTCATTTAAGTAACTAATATGTCAGTTCTAAAACTGGGGATAAATGTTCTTCTATCATTATTAATGATAAATATGTCTAACGAAGAAGCAAATTTCGAATGCTGGAAAATAAATGCTTATTTTAAAATAATGGACTGTAATAAATGGCATGAAAAATAGGTTTTCAGTAGAAAGTCTAAAAATCGGTGTAGGAGTGGTCAATTATACACAATTAAAATATGAAGAAAGTATTGAGTTTATTAATAAGTATGAGGTATCTATGAATTTAAAAACTATATTAAGATTAATAAATAGATTTAATTAATATTAAAACAAATTATAATGTATATTTTTTTAATTTATTTGAATTTTCTAGAAAATATTAAACATAAGTCCAGAAAATTTGAAGGCTAAAATGATGGTCATAAAAAATATGATGAATAAAGAATCCTTTGAAATTTATGACATCATACCCATTGTAGACAACAATATTTTTCCAAATTTGTATAAACTTTTGCAAACTGCACTGACTATACCAATATCATCTGCCTCATGTGAACGCTCATTTTCTGTTATGAGGCGAATAAAGAATTGTAATTGAAATACCATGACAAATGATAGGTTCACAAACTTGTCAATACTTCATATTGAAAGAGATTTTTCACATGCAATAGAATCAGAAAATGTACTCAATATTTTTGCAGAAAAAGACAGACGTCTAAGTTTAATTTTATAATTTAGTTTTAATTGTTTTATGTATTGTAAAATAAAATGTCAGGTTAAGAAGGAGTCATACATATAAATATATATATATATATTTTTTAGAAAATGTTCTCTTTCCCTTTATTTCACGATAAACATAAAGAGTTTTTAGAAAACATTTTTCTAGTCCTATGTAGCCCCCACAGATAATTATACCAAGCTACGCCAATGAGAGTACTTAAATTGTATTGGCCAACTTAGTTAAAGGCCGATCAAAAATGATAAATGTATTTAAACTGTATTATCCGTTATTGAAATATAATACCTACTTAAACTTGAGTGTTATGACTCATGAGTTTGCGTTCAATTACCTATTCCCCTCAATATCATAATGAATATTTCCAGAACCAAAATTTCAAACTTTAGGTATTGTTATTCAATAAATAACACAATAAAATGTTTATTAAATCTTGTCTGCTCCAAATTTCTGTTAAATATAGACTCTTGTCCGTTGTCCTGTCAATAGTTCTTTATCATTTGTGTACACAGGTAGATAATTTTACTATTTTAATCACACTAAATTACTTTATATAAGTCCTTTTTGAGGTTTTCAGTAGTAACATTTATAACGTGTTTTAGCACTCTAAAATTATGCTTTATTTAGTAACTATTTTTATTTTTTTAATTGAACGCATTTTAAATTAAATTATTGTGTATTAAGTTTTTGCTTGGGGAGTTGTGTAGAATGTTCGTGTAAAGGGATTGTAGTATTGATTTTACAAAATAGTAATATCATTACATTTTTTTCCCATAAAGTAAAAGTAGGTACCATTTAAGTCTTAACTTGAACATACATGCTTATACCGAATGCTGATAATTGATAAGCCTTTAACATGTTATCAAATTTCTTAGAAATCATTATAATATGATGTGTGAATACATGGAACATTATATATTTACAATAATAAATATTAACTGAATAATTTATTAAGAAAAAAATCGTATTAATGTTAATCGCATTATAATATTAATTATATAAAAAATCAAACCCAACACTAATTTATCTACAGCTGATAAAACATAAATTATTGTGTTTACTGTTTGGACGATCGCAGTATTTTTTTTGTAGATCTATTTATAATTTATTATTATTATAATTCTCGGAAATTGTAAATTTACAGAAAAACAAAATATGTAGTTATAAAATATTTTTGAATTTCAGATTTCAGTAATGTTTACTTCTCATTCATTATAATTTATACTATCCATTCATAATATAACTTCAGACTTTAATAATCATTAAACGAGTATTTTTTTTTTAACACATTTTTAGAAAACCCCATTTCACTAATTTTTGTTAAAAAAGAATAGGATATTTTTTTTAGAAAACGGTGTAATTTTTTTATTGAAGTAAAGAGACTATATTTCACACTGTAATGGTATATTTAAATAGGTCAGCTAATAATTAAAAAGTTATCGTGGGTTTAGACCCAACAAATAAAAATAAGGTACATCATATTGTAAAACAATAAATGAACCCTAAATAAAAAAAATTTAAAAAAAACCAATATAAATTAAATTAAAGCCCGAAGTAAACCAGGTAACTATTCTAAAAGTTGTTTACTTATAATGTTTATTTTACAAGATAAACATTTTTATAATTAATATAAACGTTTTAAACTCATTATAAAATGTGTGTTTTAACTTTTAAAAGATAAATCAAAGTTCTATTAAACAGTTTTTAAAAAGTTCAGCTTAGTTTACTGTTAAAAAGTCTTATATAATATGTAACTCTTTGAAAAAGTTCTATAATTGTTGCATGGCCTAAAATAAATTCCAATACCTAACTATAGTTTAATTTATAGTTTATACTTATTTTATGAGTGTATATTTTTAAATTCGAATACATTTTTGTAAACGAAAAATAATTTTACTTTTTTGTTTATCAACTTTTAGTTTATGTTACATGTATTATTGTATAAAGCTGTTTGTGTGTTTAGTGACGTTGGCAAATAATTAATACCTACAACAAACATCACAGACAAACTTGTTGTTTTTTCTTCCTATGATTTTTTTTTTTTACTTGTACACTTGGCTTGTATTTTGCGGGGGCCAAAAACATACGTTTGTAAATGTTATAATAATAATACTATTAATGATACGCCTACGAGATTCTCTTGGCTACGTCAGGAAATCCAAACAGATATGCTATGTACCTAATCCACTATTGTTGTTAGAAGAAGGTAGACGTTATTGAAAAACACCTGTCAAATGCGGCTTAAGCTAAGAGAACTAGAATTGAAATTACAAGGAAAACAATAATAGTATATGAAAACAAGCCATTGACTTGTACACGCTTGAATTACTGAAAACATTTTGCGGGTTAATTAAAAACAGTTGCGCTTAATGTAGACATTAACATTAATTTTTATTCGATAAAAATCAGTCAAACGTGTTTTAAATAAAATCGCATGCATCATTGTGCAATATGTATAACACCTCTAATGCGCGGATGTTGCACAAATTCCTTATATAATCTGTATATTGGTGTTAAATAATATTTTTTAATTAACCATCATCCGACATACACTCGACAGGCATATCTCTAAAATTATTTACAATGGATCAGTGATTGATTACAATAATATATATTAAAAACAACATTTAAGTATGAACATTTTCTTAAATTTAACGTTAGTCAAAATATGTTAATGAGAAGTGGAAAATTGTAAAACTGCTTCGATCGGCAATAATTTTTTCAAGTACCCGTTCATGGTCTAATTAACCTCGGGTTTTATTTTAAGTAGGTATTATTAATATTTATTAATCAGTTTTTAAGTTTCATACGTTTGTTAATTAACTGTCGACAATGTCTAGAAAATCACTAATTTTTAAGAAGACTATATTCCTATTTTTGTTTGTTATTACATTTTTTTATAGCTGAATTGCATTTGTTGTTAGTAAATATTTTAATTTTTTGGAAATATTTTGATATACTTAAATTCATGTCATGAAAACATTTAGAGAACGGAAGAGCTGTTAGCTATAATAATAATAATATACTATACCATTTTTAATAATATCAAACATATTTATAAAAAAAAAAAAAAAAGTAATAGGTTCTATAGGTAGTGTTTTTTGTTTAGGAAAAAACCGCCAGTATAAGTGTGACAAAACGCATTCGATTTTTTTTAACTATACAAAAAAGCTTAAAAACATAAATCTTAATAAGTAGGTAATATTAAAATTGTATACTTATTTAACACACGCGCGTCAACTGTAAGTAAAATTGAAAATAAAAAAAAGAAAACCATTGTTTAATTTATGTACAAATCTTTTTTAGCTGACAGTAATTATTTCAATAATGTTTTTATATTTTTCGGTGAAATCGGCAAAATTCTAAAAAAAAGAAACAATTATAAACAATTTATTTTTTCGTTTTTTTATAAAAAGTACAGTATCGACATTTTTTGCATGTTAAACAATACCTCTAATTAATGACTTTTTTTGAAAACTTTTAATCCTTAAATGTCAAAACATAGATTGTTAAGACATTGCACTCTTTGTAAAATAAGATGATTTATTAAATACTTTAAACATAAAAAAAAAAATAACCAATCATTATGTTAAACTTTTAGGATCACGGTAAGTTTTCAAAGGCAGATAATATTATACCATAAAAAAAATGTTTGAAATTAAACTATACAAATGGTTTGATGGTTGTTAGTGTTAATCGAACATACATTTTCATACAATAAAAATTAATAATAAAAAAATAAACGAAATTCCCAAAAAACAATGAATTTGTTATTTATTTATTTGCCTTATAGTTAGGTAATGTTGAAAAAAAAAATGTTCATAATATAAATTCAACATAAAATAATTAATCTTTAACATTAACGATTGTTTCCTGATTGATATTGTCTTTGGTAATTGAAGGCAATTCTTGAATGCCTCCAGAGTACGACAATTTGACTTTAAAATTGGGCATATTAATAATGCATCGCTTTTGAACTTCGGCAATACATTTTTTCAAAAGATCGTACGCTTCTTGGTATGTTGCATCTGAACAAAAAATAAATCGTAAGAAACATATATTTTTTTTAACCATTAATCTTTGATTTGACTAAAATTATTTATTATTTTTAAGATGATAAACAAATTCATCAATTAATTGGTAAACATGCTATAAAACTATTAAAATTGTAAATTGTTTTATTTTAAACATATTATATACAATTTGTTTGAAATAAATACTCTTATTTACTTTCTTTTTATTAGAAACATTATAAATCTATTTTTATTTGTTGTCTTATTTATTATTCACTATTGGTTTGAATTTTTAATAAAATACTTACGATAATAATAGATACAATTAATAAAAATGTGTAAGATAAGTAAAAAGGCTTAAAATACACAAAGAATAAGTTAAGGTAATTTAATTACATAAATAAAACGCATATTTAGATATATTTTATTTCTTATTTATTTCATATATGTGGAACAAATGCACTTTACCGGACACCCTTTTCCCCCCGCCATAGTGTTTTTTTACGCTGATTACGAATCTGAAGTCAAAATTAGGCGGACCCGGTTAGTTTTAAAGTTATAGCTAGTTGAAATTTGCATATTTCCCCTATGTAACAGTACGCGGCGGCGGCAGAGCCGTGCGGCGCTGTCTGAAGGCGTCGATAACTGATAAGGACGGTAGGTCTCCGAGTGTTTTGGCACTCACTCACTCGGCGCTGTCGCCTCGATCCTCTAACTAAAAATATCCTAGGTTTGCAAGCTACAGTCTAGGAGGAGATCACAGGTTTAATGTAAAGTCGGTTTAAAACGGCTCTAGAAGCCATGTCACGTGTCCGGCATAAAAAAAAAAAAAGACCACAAAGGGCGCGTACTGTTACATAGGGGAAATATGCAAATTTCAACTAGCTATAACTTTTGAACTGACCAAGTCCACCTAATTTTGACTTCAGATTCGTAATCAGCGTAAAAACACTATAATATGGCGGAAAAAAAAGGGTGTCCGGTAAAGTGCATTTATACCAAATTATCTTTTATTTGTTATCTTATATAAATTTAGCCAAACTCTGGTGTACAATGGCCACCATAGATTTCTATAGTCCAGTAATTTACATTTTTGGGCTTAACAATTATACCTGGTTTGTAGTAACGATCCATCACAGTGATCGACATCATACCACCGTAGCCGTGAGCACTGTAAGGCACGTCTACTTGAGCACCTAAATAGTCGATAAAGTATAAGTGTGATTTCTTCACTTTTGGATCGAATCCGCCGAGCATAATGTTAACTTGATACGGGCTCTATGTGTGATGATAAAATACTGTGAATTAGACATTGTGCCAAAAAAATGTGTAATTGTCCTAATTGTCGATAACAATTATGCATACTTGACTTCTGAGATGTTCGGCGATTGTTTTACGGGTAAATGTGGCAATGGCCGGTATGGACAGATCGTATCCGTTGCGCATGCGATATAGTTTAACATTTTGTGTAATGTATTCGGCAAATCTGGGAACGTCCCCGGATTCGCCCGTAACACCCATTACTACGTTTTCGGTAATGTTGTACGTCTTGTCTTCGTCTATACAAAAACATCAGTACTTTATTTTAGTTTGTTATTTAATATTTAGTAAAAGACAAAAGTTTCGTGATTTACCGTCTTTCATGACCATAATACTATGGGCAGCCGTCATGTCTGTGGCAATCAGCACAAAATCGTTGAACTTTATTCCAATAACAGTTTCCATATTTCCAATAACGATGTAAAGGGATTTAAAAAATAAAAAATGTACGTGTTTCAAAAAAAGGATAGTTACAAAACAAATTGAAATTTTGAAGTTGTTATTCAGTGTTCACAATAAATATTAATTCTCAACTCACAAATGATTGAGCGGTTTTTTCGTTTCCGAATTTTCGTTTATTCTAAACAAAAGTCAACCGTTTCTAACTTCATATCAATCGTTTGGCGAGTGTGTGTGATAATTTCATGTAATCTGTTGTTGTAACTTACCGGTATTATTAACTCAAATTTAATATAATAATTTGATTTTAGATTAGTTTTATTAATTTTTATTTATAATGATATGTTGTGTAATACAAGTTAACATTTGACGATTACTGAATTGCAAAAAAAAGTCAATTACATTAATCTTGGCTGTTTGTTTCCATATGTTATATTAGACTTTCAAAAATGTCTGAAAAAAGAGAACACGAAGACGATGAAAATAGTGATAATTCATCAGAAGACGAATGCGTTGGACCAAGTTTATCTGAAGCTGCAGAAGTTGTTGAAAAGAAAAAGAAGAAAAGTAATCATATAAAAATTTTATAAAAACACTAACATGTTTAGTATTTATTATCGTGTAGGTATAATTTAAAATATATTTTACAACATTTTAACAATGTTAAAGGGATCGTCAACTCGAACGACAGATTTCTTCATAATACCTTTTTATATTTGAGAACAACATTTTTCCTATCGATATTGATAAAATAAACTGCCAGCCATTTTTTTTTGTCAAATTATGGATTTATTCGCGCTGGACAAAATACAACACAGTCTGACGACAGTATAATCGTTGTTGACAAAATTATACATAAATAATAAATATCCAATATTTTATACATGCCAATTTTTTTGTTCACCCTAATACTTTAAATGTAAGCACTGCATTTTTGGGTGGTTTTATAAAAATTTTAAATTAAAAAAAAAAACGGTGCTTATTATTGTGTTGATCAGCAGATAATATATTTGTGTTTGTTTCAGTTTTGAAGTACGAAGATTTATACTTAAAAAACTTGCCCTCGTCAGATACATACGAAAAAAGTTATATGCATCGAGATGTCATAACACACATAATATTCACAAAGTATGTGCTTGAGAAACTTTCCCAAGTTTTTGTATTGTTAATCATATTTTTTTAAATTTATTGTAGAACTGATTTTTTGATAACGGCTAGTTGTGATGGTCATGTCAAATTTTGGAAAAAGTCTGAAGAACTGATAGAATTTGTAAAACATTTCCGTAGCCATCTTACACCCATTATAGATTTAACGGATAACTACAACGGCACTCTCATGTGCACCATATCTTCCGATCAGTCAATAAAAGTGTTTGACGTAATTAATTTTGGTATGTACAATAGTTTACGTTTAAGGGTAACTCGTTTTTTTTCAAATGTAACATTTTTTTTTTATTTATACAGACATGATCAACATTATCAAATTGGATTATGTGCCGTTAAGTGCGTGTTGGGTACATGCAAAGGGAGATCCAATTCACACTGTCGCAGTGTAAGTTATACCTATCTTTATTGTGATCAAATATAATATTTGATTGTTATGTGTTATGCCATTTAAACTTTCTTCTAATCATGATAATATATTTTGTTTGTGTAGTAGCAGTTCAACCGAACCAAAAATATTTATATATGACGGCAAAGGTGAAAACGTTCCACTCAAAATACTAGAAAAGATTCATTCCAAACCAGTCAGCTTTATAAAGGTAATTTTATTGAAAATACTTTTATTGATTACTCGGTTGGTATGCAAAATAATAACAAAAAGTATATTGAAAATTCTATTTTAGTTTAATCCAACGTTCTGTGTGGCTGTATCGGCCGACAAAAGTGGTATACTCGAGTACTGGTCAGGACCTAAAACGGATTACCAATTCCCAAAATGTGCAAAGTTTGAATCCAAGCTTGACACTGATCTATTTGAATTTGTAAGGCATAAAACGTATCCGTCGAACTTGTGTTTTTCCAATGACGGGTTAAAATTTGCGACCATGTCACCGGACCGAAAGGTAAAACACAATATTATTGTAATAAAAAAAAAAACAACATCTAGTTATAATTTTTTACGAATAGGTTCGAGTGTTTCATTTTTTGACTGGAAAACTTCATAGAGTTTACGACGAGACTTTAAACAGGTTCAACGAACTTCAGCAAAAAAAACAACAGATTCCCAACATTGAATTTATTCGAAGGTATTACACAATTTTTTTACATGTTTGCACATTTTTATACTGAATTAATTTAATTTATTTTAGAATGGCAATCGAACGAGAATTGGATAAAACTGAAATTTCGCATAGGGCCAATTTGTGTTTTGATGAAAGCGGACATTATCTTTTTTATCCGACCATGTTGGGCGTTAAAGTGGTGAACACATTCAACAATACTTTGGTGAAAATTATCGGCAAGCCAGAGAACCTGCGAGTGTTGAAAATCACCTTGTTTCAAGTCAGTACACTGTGGCGTAAGTTGTGTGAACTGCGTCACGCTAAAAAAATAAAAATACATTTAGATTTTTGTTCTGTTTATTAATGTATTTATTGGTACTTTAGGGCAAAGCTAAGAAAGCTAAAGCTGCTGTTACGTTGGAAATGGAAGCGGCCACCAATCCTACGTTAGAAGGGACGTCGTCAGATCCTACACTGTTTTGTACGGCATACAAAAAGAATAGGTTCTATATGTTCACCAAGTAAGACGACATTATTTATGTAAACCTAACAATTTTATGGAATATGTGACACTTTTTTTGTAGACGTGAACCGGAAGACATAAAAAGTATTGATGCTGATCGCGATGTATTCAATGAGAGACCTTCAAAAGAAGACATTATATCTTCTACTGAAGCTGCATGTAAGTCTTGATTGACATGAAGCCAATATTATTTACCCTATTCATTTAAATATTATTTATAGCAATCCAACGGCTGTACGACACGGCGACCCTTCACACTGTGTACGGAGATATTCAAGTGGCGCTGTTCAAAGAATGTCAAAAAACCGTAGAAAATTTCTGCGTACACAGCAAGAATGGCTACTACAACGGAAATATTTTTCATAGGGTCATTAAAGGATTTATGATACAAACTGGAGATCCTACTGGTAAGTTAAAAACTATCAAGTAAGAATAATATATAAATACGATTTTAGATTAGAACAGAAAATACATCATTGTAAAATCAATATCTTTTCTGCTCCACATCAAAACTATAAGAAACATTGTGGAAGATGTTTTATTAATGTGACAATATTGTTACAGGCACTGGCTTGGGCGGAGAGAGTATTTGGGGAGGCGAATTCGAAGACGAAATCCGGCCACATTTGAAACACGACAGACCATACACCCTGAGCATGGCCAATGCAGGACCCGGTACAAACGGCAGCCAGTTCTTCATCACGCTGATACCAACTGTAAATCATAATATTGTTTGTTTTTGAAAAATATACTAACAACCATTCGTGTTCTCTTTTCCAGCCTTGGTTGGACAATAAACACACAGTTTTCGGACGAGTTACTAAAGGAATGGAAGTGGTCCAAACAATTTGCAGTGCGAAAACGCATCCAAAAACTGATAAGCCACACGACGATATACAAATAATCAACATCAGTTTGAAATGATCAAACCAATATTGTGACATGATTTTTTTTTTTTTATACATCATAACTAATATAATACATTTTTTTCAAATACAACAATGTTTTATTATTTGAAAACAATTTTGGAATCCTAGTTAAACATTTCAATAGAACAAAGTCTACAAATTATACTACTAATTTTTGTCAGTTAAGATGTGTACTTACAATATTATACAATGTACATTACCCTTATTCAATCGAACAAACAAAGTGTAATTTGATAATAGTAATTGTCAACTACATATATTTATATTTTATATATATATATATTGTTAACATATTATATTATTAACATAATTAAAAACCATTAACATATAGGAATAATACGAGTATAAATGTTTACTGACTAGTATACAATGTTGAACGTCGTCTAACGCGGCGTTTTTCACAGATAAACGCTCCGGTTATCTTTTCAGTCTACAAACTTAACATGTTATAGCATGTATCAACTCTAAAGGCACATGCATAATAATAACAATATAATATATATTGTTAAAAATTTAATGCGTAAGTTTTTATTAATTGTCGCACGTTTAAAACAGAAATAAACAATACATGGGCACCTTAACAGATAATAATATCTATAGCAAATTTAAATTAATTAATTATAAGTATACCTACTTAAATATACAATATTTTAACGCTAGAGTAGAATTTTAACTGGTCCATCGCAAATTTTATTATCGTAATTAAAATTTAAATACAATAGTGTAACATTTTAATAACAATAATAAAAAAAAAAAAAAAATGGATATAATAATTATATATAAATAACATTTGTATAAAAATCGAATACAATATTTTACAACTAATACGATTAAACAGGAACCAAAATCGTGTACTCAAACGATGCAAGTGTATTCCGTCCACAGTAGATGTTTACCTTGTTTAGGTGCTTAGGTGATTTTTATTTTATTTTTTAAAAAGACGGATATTGTTAATGTCGGACGGAAAATACTACAACGAAATTACTATCGTCGAGAAAGATTTAGTAAAACCTTTACTCGATTTTATTTACATAAACGATAAAAAAAAATACATTTTGGTTTTTTTTGTCTTACACAAAACCTTCTAAAATTGAGTTTTTCCAAAATGGTACTCTTACACCGCGCCGTACCCTGTATTTTCAAAATTTAACATTAAATATTATTATTATTATTTTTTTTTTTTAATTACCCCGATCAAATATTTTAATTGAACACCGTGATAACAATATAATATTATTTTGTTTTCAAATCGATCAAAACGTATAAAGTAAATATTTATGAAACAAATAAATAAATATTATTTACAAAAAAACCGATTTTCCATACATGGTTTTTCCATTAAAGTCAGTGGCATTGGTAGTGGTCGTGATGTGGGGGGGGGGAGGTTAAGGAGAATTTTATTGTTTTCCTATTTTGGCATAGATATTTTTGATCGTTTGTTTTTGTTTTTTTACCTTGCTTTTGGTACCCTGTTTTAGGATTTCTGAGACAATATTATATTATTTAATTTTTTAATCGACAATCGTATATTTTTATAACAAAGGCGTTCACGTTAACAAGATAATATAATAATATAATCTATTGATTATGACCCGAAGACATTTTACAAATCGTATCTACGCCCGATGCTTTAGACATAGACAACAGGCATAAGATAAATTTAAAACATAAATTTCACTTTTTCTCTTGTAAAATTGTGTAACTGTAAACTACCTACACACTTTTTTCAATCTGTACATTATTTAACAAATGTTCAATTATATTAAAATTAAAATAATTATTATAAATACAAATTGTACTTAGAAATTAATTACAATTTTTTTTTTGTACTAATTTCTAAATAATAATTTCGAATAAATGTGTATTTGAACGAATATAAAAAACAAATAACAGTTGTTTTAAAGAATACCAAGATTTACTAAATGGTATAACTTATAAGTAGTATTAATACAAAATAATAATAAATATACCTTCTTAAGACATTTTCTAAAATTTCTAGATTTGTTTAGTAAAACATGTTTTTATTAGTATCGTAGCATATCTTTCTGTTTTTTTAATTTAATATTAGGTTCTCATTACTTTAAATATTAGTTGAACAATTATTTATTTATTTTAAAAATTATTCAAGTGACGTGATGAGATCCAAAAGGGTACAAGTGACAATTTTCCAATAACAAATTTTTAGAAGACCTTTTTCCATTTAAATATTTTTATTTTATAACTCACTCGAATAAAAAATAATTATTTATTCAACTAATATGGTTTGAAAACTATTCGAATAAAAATTGCCCAATTCTGGTATTGATCTAAACTATTGTAAGTTTGGACACGCAAAACTAGTATGATACTTTGTTGTACCGTCCTGCCTTTGACCGATTGCCTAAAGCACCGGGCGCGCGTGTGATTTGGATAATATCATAACGGACAACAGTTGGGGGCGGCTGATGTGGCGGGGTCAGACCGGTGGAACTCACTACCCAGGATGACGGTGGGTAAGTCTTCGCAACTCTGGTAATCGGACGACGACGACGACGACCACCACTCTGGGTCGCTGGCCCGTCCGCCCGACAAGTCTATGATGACGTCGTCGTCGTAGACGGGCGTCTGGCGTCTGCGGCAAAACATCTCGTGTCGTTTCTCGCGGTTGCTCAAGACGGTCGGGTTGGGCGGACGCTCAATGTGCAGTTCGCCGACCACCTCGCCGGTCTGCGACTGGATCTCGAGCACGTTGCGTCCGTCGACACGGCTCGGGCTCGCTTCAGGACCGGCCGGCGGGCACAACACGTCCACTATGTCAGAGAACGCCACCGACCGCTTCTTGATGACCGGAGTGGGCACGGGCGTGACGGTCACCTTCTCGTTGCGCACGGTTACCGTGAGCGGCCGCTGCCGTTCGGGAGTGGCGTCCACGCTGGTCTGTTGTATGGATTGGTGCAGCAGTCGCGTGCTGTGCGTCTTGAGGTCGAGCCGCAGGTAGAACGGGTTGTACAATCGGTGCACCGGGGCGGGCGCGTCCGGGTCGAGCGACGCCGGCGGAGCGTCTTCGGGCGTCCGGTCGACGGTGAATTGCTTGACGACCACGTACCGGCCCGGGTAAGCGATGGGCGCGGTGGCGTTCTGCGTGCGGTCCGCGTGGCCGCTGTAACCGGACGCCGTGACGCCGCCCACCGTGGGCTGGTCGGGAGTCAGTGGTTGGGCTGCACCTCTACCGAATTGACAGTACCACTGAGCTTCTACCTCGTAATCTCATTTCTTTTCCTTTTGGTCTTTGTTCAGATAGTGCAACACGTAATGCAACACCAAGTCGTAACAATACTTGTACTCGGTCTGAAACAGTTACAAAGTGTCAACATAATTAGTGTTATCCATCAATAACCGCCGACAGTGGCCCTGCCAAAATTAGCCTATCCTTCTCCCTTCCGAGAAAATTGTTACTTTGTAACAAATTTCGGATAAATTTCAATGCGTTGCTAGTTTTCTGTAAAGAAATGATTAAATATGTCTGCTAGGTAAGTTCTGGTTTCGATATAGTCTTAAATGTAAAAAAACACATATTTTGGAAAAAAATCCCTGCGTTCTTAAATCATGCATTCGGTATTATACAATTTGTTAAGTAAAATAGTACTTTCGAAATTTAATACGTTGAATTCGACAAAAATAATGTACCGTTTGAGAGACGACAAGTGTCTTAAATAGTACACAAACGAATATTACCTAGTGAATTAGGATTTTGACGTGAATACGTCAGTGAATTTGGTGTGTTGTACGAAAACATGAAAAAAAGCTCTGACCACAACATAATAGTTTTTTTAGTCGTCATTTTAAAATTTGTTTCCCAAAATAAGTTTCCAAAAACAATATACATAGTTAAACTTATTATTTTTCGAATGTTAATTATATTATTATTGTAGGTAAAGAAAAAAAAAGCCACTTATATATAGTTTTACAGGAATGTTGTTGTGTGTTTTTTTTAACTACCGCGTTTAAGATGAGCATAATAATTTAATGTTAATCATATTATTATGATTCGCCGAGTTTATAATATTATCATCATCATCTTTGGTCGAGATGAATATATTTTATTATTAATTTTCTTTGTAAATAATTTGCATAATATTAATTTTCGTTGATTATAAAAACATTTGTCTGCGAATAAAGCCGCGGTATTAATTAAATTAATTAATTTACAAGGAAAAAATATAATGTATTTAAATTAGTTGGATACAAAATTAACAATGACCGCTAACAAGTAATTTATACGAGAACAGACCGCAAATTGTATAAGTACATAATTTTGATACCCTCGTGCAGAAATGTAAAAGTAATTTGAATGCAAATTGTGTTGTGACCAGACCGTTGCTAATAATTCAAAATGTATTAAAAAAAAATCTGCTATGATAAATTCACCTTGTCGTGCTTAATTTATTCTGTAATATTTTGTCATTCCTCGTAAAACCCCATATTCTCTGTTACATATTTTAGAAAATAATTGTGAACATACAATTTACTATTACTGTGTTTAGTTTTGAAATTGCGTGCTCTTAAATTTAAAAATAACCCAAAAGATAAAACTATTTTATCCTACTCAAATATATAGGCCCACCAAGTAAAAAACGGTTCCGATGGCTTTTGATTTATAATAAGAATTGGTTTGAAAAAAAAAATAGATACTTTAAACATTTGTCATTAATGACTAAATTTTAATAGTCTCATAAAGTATTGGTAAACAAACGTAACTTTTTGATAAATAAAAAAATATAAATTAAATGTTTGTTTTATAACGTTTTGTACTTCGATTTTTTACATAACCTTGACAATTTGTTACACTTACGTGATATTGGCTCTCTAAGCGCATTTATGTAACCATTAAGTATTATTTAATTTTGAAGTAAAACAATTTTTCAAAAAACTATTATTTCGCATTTTATTTAACTAGTTAGAACTGTGTTGGGTGTAATTATTAATTGTATTCATTTTTAATGACTAAAAATATTGGTCGTTCCAAAATCCTGAAACTTTTTATCTGTTAGGCCACATTTATGGGTAAGTATATAGGTATTTTTTTTGCGGTAAAGAACAGGGTTTATTGTTTTAATTCTAATAAAAAAAGCTATAAATATCATTTTTTTAAAAGATATATGAAGATATAGTTACGCTGTAATTCAGTTTCTAAATTAATGTAACTAAAACAGTAATGTCTGTCCTTTTGAAAAAGGTCAGTGGTATTATTTTAGTTTATGACTGCTAATTGGTAGGGTTAAAGGTACATCCGAACCTGGGCAATTGCTATTTAAATATAGAATTGATTGGGCAACATTTGAAATTGTATTTATATAATTTTTAATTGTTATCGAAATTTGTTCAAATAAAATGTATTTTGAAATTAGAAAAATTGTATAGCAAATGCCTGCGTTCAAATTAGTTTAATTAAATTCATAAATAGCAAATAAAAACAATGTTAAGTGCATGTATAACTAATACTAACAAAGACACACGAATGTCCCTAATGTTAGCAATAACTCACATCAACGTTAATCGTTTTTAAGGTGCTCTAGAAATAACTCTTAGTGTATACCGATATTATTTTTAGACAAAAAAAAAAAAACGGTAAGTTATTTCTTCGTCTGTATTTACCCAAAATATAAAATATGAATTCTGAAAAGCGGGGTTTAGGTCGAACTTGTATAGAAGTGTAAAATATATGCTTATATTAAATAAATACTCGCAAAATAATAATAGGTAGGTAAACTCAATTATTAATCGATAAGTCTATAGCATACGAAAACACCGTTTTAAGTAAAATATATTAAAATTCTAAACAACTTTATTTTTCTGGAAAACATTCAACTAGAACTCCTGAAGAACGTTATATTGATGTATTTTAAAATTGTTTTTTTGTGTGTCTGGTAGTAAATCTTTAAACTCTAAATAAGCAAAAATTGAAACAGTCTCGGTAATAATTTTTAAGTGAACAAAGCTACAAAGCTACAAAGCTAGGATTTATTAGTGTCACCGTTATGAATAATTATTCGTCATCGTGTTTTTCTTTTTCTAAACGTTTCTTAAATATTTGCCGATCAAACACGAGGAACGACTTTGCTTACCATGTTCTCTATGAGCTGTGGCCGATGTCGTCTGACTGTCTTTACCGCTTGGAAAACGTCCACTTCGCCGTGCTGGATGACTTGCTCGATGCAAGCGTTGGCTGAACAGTACACACCGCATCTGCCCCTACCGTCACTTTAAGAATAAAAAAGCAAATATACATTTTCATCAGTTAACGCCGCCAAAGAGATCGTCTAATGTGTAAAAAAAGTCTGTATCTGAGAGTTGAAAAAAATAATGTCATACTGAGACACTACGACGACGGGCCCGTAATCGATCCGCTGTCTCCACCTTTCCACCATGTTCATGAGCTCGACAAGGGAATTGGTGGATGTCGGAACCCTGTGGCCCATCGGCCAACAAGTGAGCTGAAACAGTTGGACGGTCCTCGGTGGAGCTTTGACGCCTGCCATCAATTCAGTGAGCGATACGATCTGTAAAGATTTGGATCATTAATCGTAAAAGTAAGGACATCTAGGACTAGGGATAGGCTTGGAGCAGAGGCTGCTTGTTCACCAGACCACCAAACATTTTCAAAGATAACTTCATAATAACAGAGATTGCACCTAAAGATTGCTGCTACGCATTGATTAGCAGCATTTTATTTAATGTTAATAGTGGGGATTGTCCGCCGTATCATAATTATAATATAGATGCCGATCAAACTGTAACAATATTATCAGTAATTTTCAAAAATGCGGTTCAACCCTCTAACTTGGGAAGTCACGGTTTTTCGATTTCACTTGGAAACGGTAATCGAGATTGTGTATTCTATTTAACTAATGAACCTGTAAATGCGCGCTGTTATATTCTACTGATCGCCACAAACCTTCTTATTGATTCGGAACAACCAAGTTTTTATGTTGGCGTAGTGATTGTGAGATATGTGGTCGATGGTGAACACCGGTCCGTATTTCTTGGAATGTCTGCCCTCTGGCCAAAACGGAGGGTATTGTTGCTGTAATATTAGAATGAAATTATTATGTTTTTACATTTGATTTCTGGTCGACTATTTGACACGTGTTATTCGCTGTAAACTCACAGAGTCTCTGGGAGGAAGGCAGAGAACCACAACGGCGGAGCACTCGTAGTCGTAGACGAGCGACCAGAAATCGCCAGGCGTGTGTTTGATCGGCCATTCCGTGACTATGTACTCTCTCGGCTTGGTATAACCCTGCAGTCATACACACAAGTACATAACAGTTTAAACAACATAATATACTTGGGTATGTTGTAACCGTAGTCTGGTCAACATTGCCAGTAAAACCCATATTAACCGTTTTGTCCGTTACAACTAAAACCTAAATATAATTGTAGGTACGTTTGAAGTTTCCCTTTTATGTGTTCTGTGTTGAGGTACAAAACCCGGTAAAACGAAAACTCTTAGTTAAATCCCCGATTCGAATAGTTAAGTTTTTCATTAAAAAACATAAACATTTGTTTTTTTCTAAAGCGAAATTTCTACTAATAATTAAATAAAATGCTGTTTTTGAAATTCGGAAAAATGTCAAAATGCCCAAACCCAAAGATAATAAATTTTATTGACGAGTGAAATAAATACTAAAATCATTGCAATTGACTATTTTTGTTGGAAACATAGACATTGATGAGGTAAGACCTTAAAGTCACACAAATATAACGACTAATACGGTTTCTTTACCGAAACCGGTAATAAAAGTGATTTATTGTAACAGAAAACTTGTTCACTACTACTAAATACTCACGTCGACGAAAACCGCGTTAATGTAATCGGTAAACGTGTTGCCTTGGAACGAAGTCAAGTATGGTCGAAAATTATCGGCTGAAAACAATTAAAGGACAACTTAAAAATCAGTACTGAAATTGATCGACGTCTATTGAGTCTTACGAGGGACGATCAGGACGTCTCGGTTTTTCTCTCGGTTGTCTCCACGATGCCCGCCGGCACAATCGCCTATGGTAAATCTGGGAGTCATTTTGCAGATTTGCTAACGACAAACCATAATATTAAACGTTTAAACGGCACCGACGTAGTTTAATGTATACTTCGTGAAACTATTTACCTGGTATTCCCTCTGGTACTCGTTGAGTTTGGTCTCGGGATCCTTCATGGATTTTTGTTTTAGCTTCTGCGATAGTTCCTTGACGGGAAACCACGAGAACCCGCACAGCACAAACTCTTCCACAGTGTCGTATATGAACTTGTATTGATTCTGAACAAATTCAAAGTTCGTGTTTGACTTAAGTACGAACGTGTTTGCATTAGCTGTACTGGCTTTTTTTTTTGTTTGTTTTATTTACCAAAGTTTCGACCATTCCCTTCCTCGATTGTCTTAGAGTTTTCAAGTAGCCGAATACATCGTAGCAGTCTTCCTCCTCGGCGAGTTCTAGATTGGCGTCGATCGACAAATACACACCCGAACGACCACCTCCGTCACTGATTTTGGCGGCAATTTAAAAAATGGATTTTTTTAAATTATTTACCTACCAAAATATATTTACCCAGTCACTTACTTGCAATGCACCACTATGGGACTGTCGTGCTGCAGCCTGGTGCCGACCACGGCCCTCATTCTTCGCCTGAACTCGAGTATGGCGTTAGAAAAAGGGCAAGTGTGACAAGGCCATTCGGTGTAATGGAACTGCAACAGAGTCCGTGTCTTCTCTTCGTTCTGCTCGAGTTACAAAAATAAAATAAAAAGCCATACATGTGAAACGGCCAGGTAAATATATAAATTGCAGTCATTACGGTTCCTTGTTTTTTCACCACTTGAATGGTCCTTATGTGGAAATTAGCTAATTCTTCTTCGTGCAACACGGATATGTTGAGATCGCCATAGTTCTCGCTTTTTACCTTGGCTGACGGCCAATACTGTATACACATCACCTGTTTAGAGTAAAAAACCACCCGTGAGCATAATTCGTACATTTGAATTTGTTTGTTGAAAATGTACTGTTATGTCTCGCAACTTAATGCCATTATATTTACATTTATTTTAGTGAATCCTCATCTACTGTTATCCAAATCTTACTTTTAACAGTAATTAAAGGTTATGTCTGTAACAACTGTGAATAAGTGAGTAAGTCGAATTTTGATCAAAATTGACTAAGTACGCTAGGATGTAGCCCGAGGCATCTAGCACACCTTGAATAAATGTCTAACTCGTTGGACCAACAAGAAACCCTTGAGAGAAATGTCAGTTATTGGCTTATGGCAGCTCAAAGTTTAAAATTGCTCTCTTGGAAAATCACTGAAATCGACTTACTCACTTATTCACAGTTGTTACAGATATGTTGACGAATTTTATCATAATTAGAAATCAAACGATGTGTCAAATTCTACAGGGTGATAACTTTATCGTGAACCACTCAATATATCATAGACATAAAATATAAGAAATTAATTTTAGCTCCGATGCGGAGCTGAGAAGGTATTGTTTTTACAATGATGTGTTTTTATTTTTGTGTCTGGACCCACGATATCTCGTATACTGCTGAACCGATTTCCGATTTCTGAACCCTTATCGTATCCACCCGGCATAAGACTAAATATTATATTTTAAGTACATTATTGCTGGTCCCACGATATCTTTTAAACCGCTATAACTGGTTTGAACATACTATCCACAGAGTCGCATCGAAGCGTTTATTTAAAAGTGATTTTATCACTTTCAGTTATAATAAAATCTGTAGACCTGTGACCTCTCCGTCCCCACTGGCTTTTTTTTTTTAAAATTGTTTTTTTACAATGTGATCTCAATTTTCACTATTTTGTTTGTATTTACCCCCCCCCCCTCCCTCCCTACTAACTTAGTGTTTTTGATAGAAACTTTTGTAACTTAAATAACGCATACATTTCATTAACTTAACCTTCTTATTTCCCTTCTTCCGCGAGTTGCCATCGCGGCTAAGAGAAACACAACTAGCACTCGTCGTTAATCCGTTACTCGGAGTTTTATTAACTTTAAGTCTAACATTCAAAGTACAACCGCAAGATTTTATAACTATCGAAAATCCCATTTTGCTTTTTTACGTCGTATTTTTAAAGAGTTCTGTGAATATAAAAGGATGGTTAAAGGTTGACAATTCTTGTGATGAGGTTAGTTTTCCAAGTCATCAAGATCATTCATTAATTATTCAGTATTCTTAGAGATCAGATTTCAAAGAAACGGTAAAAATGTTTTAGATAAGTCCGATACCTGAAACTTATGCATTATTTTGTGAGACATACTGTACAACAACAATATTCTTAATTGTCGAGACCTTAATAAAATCGAACGTTTTCGTCAACATGACTATGCAGCAAGCGTTTTCCTGCCATATCATTCGCCAAAAGTCATTGACCGTGTTCTCGGTCGGCCCCTGGGTCACTATGTACGCGTTAGGTTTCAGCAGACTCTGTAAACAATACATAACTGACATTAATTGAATATTATGTATATATATATATATATATATATATATATAATCCGTGCACTTTAATAGTGTTTACCCAATATTACTACGGTAAAATAATATTATGTAAAAAAAACGTTGCGTGGGCTGGGCAGCCCTGAAAATTATTTTTTGCATATTATACTCCGAAATTCAACATTTCGTGTACGGCTAATGCAATCATCGAGTATAGGACAGGGAAAAGTTGCCTACGATCTAGGTTAATTGCCTAGGAAATCAACACAACAATTTTCGCTGATATTTCGAATTTACCCCCAAATTGATTGTAAAAACTATAAAAGGAGATTAGTACAATTTAAGCCATGCAAGTGTAGGTTGGTTTGCATTTTGCATACTCCAATACTTCAAATTTATGAATTATTGTACAACTATCCTTTAACTTTTAATCATAACTCTATAAGATGTACCGTTCATTCCAAAATATAAATTGTAAGTCATTATCATTAATTTAGTATAGTATAGATTAGGGTGACCATTTTTATATAAAAAAAAACGGGACTAACAATATTTAATTATATATTTAATTATAATATTTAATATTTAATTATTTAAAATATTTTTTTAAAAAATATTTTTAAAATAGGTAAATAATAGATAAGATATCTGTACTTGTTTGCATTGCGTTATGCAGAATATGAGCTGCACAACCAATTCCACAAATATTGGTTTTTTAAATTGTCGTTTAAAATCGTAAAAACATTTTTTGTTCCTTTCCTTGCAGCACCCTCAGAATTGGTATTACAATTATCCCCGCTAAATGCAATAATTTTGTGAGATCATTCATGTTTTGTTCTTCTGAGGAGTAGGCACCGTTTCACTGTCGCGAGTATTCTGAGCGCAGCGTCGCTTATTTCTTGTCGGTATTATATGGCCGTAGTTGCAACCGTGTTTTCTCGACCAAGTGGTCTTAGTAGTTATCTTTGTTTTTCCATTTTTAATTTTTATGGCTCTTTTTGCTTTTCCCTTTTTATACCTGGGATCTTTATTTATTTCGTCAACAGTTGTTTTTATTGTTTGGCATTGATCGGTTGGTTTGATTTGTTTGTTTCTTTTTTCCTGTCGAACAATTGCTTTCCGTGTATTGCTAATGTTATCCGTAGCTGTTTTCAACAATAGGACGATTAATCTTTATTGCATACTGTTATAAATCAATTGTTAAATACTAAATGAGTGATAACGCATCCCTGTGTTTGAAATTGAATTCATAACAGTTATGTTCGGATAATCCCTATCAACAATAAAAATAAACGAGTGAGCAGGAAAAAAATATTTGCTCGTTTATTCATTCGGAGCAATGTGAAACTATTAATTACAAATGTCCCCCGAAATTGTGCCAATGACAATGACAAGAATATTTCATCGGAAAATCTAGTTATCGACATGAGCAGTTAAATGCATATTTCATACAAATAATAATAATGTGCTTTAAACCCGCCGCTTCGAAAAGTTGTGGAATAAGCGTTTAACAATTTGAGTCTGTCACTCGACGGCATACGTCTTCCCCGTTTTCGGATCTATTTTATATTATAATTACTTGGGTAGGAATAATAATATGTTCTTTATATAGGACCGCTGTCGTCATCAGCATAACTGAAATCGTGATGTCGACTAATTGAATAGGTACGTGGCAGGGTCGCAGTTTGTTGACACGGACGGGTCCGAGTAGGGGTTTTAATTTAAGACGTCCCTTTAGTGATATTATACAATACCAACACAGACAAACATTGTTATGGCACGTGATGTTTGCTTACAACGGGTGTCAGTTAATTATAACTTTTTTGCTTATTCCAAACCGGCCAAAAATCGATTTCATGTTTGTCAATGGTTTTCTTAATATAATGGTAGTATTCCGGCCGGATTGTAATACAAATTATTCAATATACGGGCATTGATTAATGATTATACAATTTTTTATAAGGGCTATTACATGCGAAATGAATTCAACAATTTTACTTCTTCTTCTTCTTCTTCTTCCGGCCTTCATAACTCTCCAAGAGTTTTTGCCGCCATCACTAAATCACCCCACTTATCTCGATCCTGCACGATCTCCCTCCAATTCTGTGCTCCAAGGTCCTCCAAATCTTTTTCCACGACATCCATCCATCTTTTCCGAGGACGACCCCGTGGCCTTCTTCCTTCCGGCTTCCAATTTAATACTACCTTGGTTAATGCATCTGTGTTACGCTGCATAACATGTCCTAGCCATTTTATCCTTTGACTCTTTATGAATCCATTAATTGTAACTATATTTAGTTCTTCCTTTAATTCTTGGTTGAACTTCCTGCGCCATTGACCGGTCCTCGGATCCCTGATCGGACCACATATTCTTCTCCATATCTTATTTTCAAAAGTCCTCAGTCTTCGCTGTGTTACACTTGTAGTAGTCCATACTTCACATCCATATGTTAGTATCGGCCTTATTATTGATGTATAAACAATTTACACTTGAATTTTTTCATAACTGGATACGTTTTATTATAAACACTAAACAAAGTATAATTGCACAATTTTGGATCGCTAAGCGTTTTTTGCTTATGTATTATACATTATTTAGACTCATAGCTAAGAATTACAGTAAAACTATCTTCAAATTGTTTGTTACAGTTCTAAAAGATTAAATATTATTTTTCAATCATAATATACATCTTAAGATAATACCTTTAAGTTGGTATGCAACATGTTCAATTATTCATACAGTTCAATTATTTTCATATTATAATCACTGTTTTTTCACATTAAAAAATGTCGCACAAGTCATATATAACTCAGTGGCGTATTTGTGCTTTTTTCGGAAGGGGTGTCTTGATATTATTTAATAAACAATTTTGGGTAATAAATAATCACATACTACAACCCTAAAATTGTACAATATCTCCCCTGCCCCTATACACCACTGTAGTCTATAATACTTTCAAATTAAAATGAAGGGCTGCGGGGAAAAAATATCAATGTCAATTTTTTAACATTCTGAGAAAATCATATTTTTAATTTCAAAACGTAATATATTTTGCATGTATGCCTAAACTTCCGGCGGTCGTTACCCTCGACTAATTTGTTTTTTCCCCTGGTTGGAGCGCATAAAAGATACAATACATCAATGCAAATAATTAGGTACCAAAATCTCATTTTCAAAAAAAATTGACATTGATCTTCTTTCCCCGCAGCCCATAAAATATATAAATGACGTTACCGTCAACATTTTGCGATGACAAATGCTCGAGTCAAATAAAAAAAAAAAAACTATTTACAGAGATTTTGTTATCAAAAATTAATTAACTTATTTCGTTGTTTATTCACTAGTTTTTTCTCAAAACTGTCAAATCGTTTTTTACATTTTATTACTGCTTGTCTTTATTAACAACTCTGATTTTCTTCTTGCTTTAAATACTTATTTTTTTCACTATAAATCAATCCAGAGTATTGTCCTATTATACTATATAAAATGAAATAAAACTTGCAAGAAACTATAAGCCTAAACATATTGTTCGTAATAATCCCTAATTATTTATCAAACTTGTTTAAAATTATGATCTGTATTCTGTAGTATAAATGCTAAAAGTTTTAACCACACGCACTTTGTTAGATCGCAAGAAGTTTTAAAGGAGTTTAGTTTTGTAAGTGAATGTAGGTAAGTATTTTAAAATTAACACGAACAAACTTCTTATTTCTTAGTTTATATACAATACAAGAGAAAATTAGTGTTTCGAACGTTAACGATAGAATAATATTATTATGGAAAATATTTTACTTAGATTCATCCAAACTGTGTTTTAATTGGTATTAATATAGAACAATATCATAAGAATAAGGGTTAAATTATAAAAAAATTTATTTCAGTATTTTATAATAAATTGTTATATTTATAATAGTGTTATATTTGAGGTAATACTCGATTAGAATATTGTAAATTAATGTCTGTACAATTTTTTTTATTAATTTATGACAAATATTTATTGTTTAATAAGAATGCTTCGTGAAATATTTAATTAGCGGTAGGTAGACATAATATTGAAGTTAATAAGCCACAGAGAAGTTTAAATTAATGAAGTCTACTAAGTAACGGAAAAAGAAACCCATTTGATTTTTTCTTCACGGCTCTGAGGAAATTTTGTTTAATTCAATGCCAATTTATTAATGTATGGCCAATCTCCATTTTCAAATACTATGAACTTTTCGCACGAATTCTTTTTTAAGATACATAGCGATAACGCTCTTATTTGAATGCACCCATGTACATATTTTGCATACTCTATGCGCCTTACAACTTGGAGCTGTATACATTTCCTCTTGCTTGATTTGTAAAAGCAAATATTTCTAAGGAATTGTATTTATATTTTTTTGTTGTTGTCAAAATAAAAAAACGCAAATCTATCTCGACTCTTAATTTAAAAAGTTAATTGAGAAAAAAAGTAGTGTATTCGGATTTTATTGTTGACATTTTGCAATGCTTGTGCATTTCTTTGTGCCAAAACAATTAAGTTCGATTTATTATAATCGTTTAATGTTCATATAGCTTTTCGTCGAGAGTAGTTATAATAGTAAAATAGAACCAAAGCTGTTAGAAGTTTAAGTATTCGGTCCATTGGAATTTGTAACAGTTTAAATAAAAATTGTATTGTGGTAAAAAAAAACCTGAGGTTTGTTATTAGAAAGTCGGTAATTCGGTGCTGTTCACGAGCAATCTTTTTTAATTAAAACTGCCTATAATAAAAAAGAGCCGAGTGGGGATTAATTAAAGGAGACGAGATCAAAGAAAAAATAATGGTATACAAAATACAATAACAACGCACATGGTATAATTATTATTAATTTGTTGGTGGTTCGATAAGCCGCATTGTTTGTACACCGAGAATAACATATTAATCGTACTTAAACGGTGAACGTTTACATATATAAAGACATTTTTTAGTGTATACTCACGTCTACGTATGACGCGTTGATATAATCCGAGTCGGGCACGTCGGGTAATTGGTTTAAAACAACTCTGTTGTAGTCGTCTGAAACAAAATACAAAATAATTAATTTGTTTTCCAATTATGAGCTCAACGAATCGATCAACCACCAACGTGTTGGCAGTTCTTTCATTAATTATTTACGCATAAACGAGAAAAAAAAAGTAAACAATTTTGCATTTGAAATAAAAATATAATCAGTTATCGTTTAGATTTGATAATGTATTGTTACAAACAAATAAATAAAAAAAAAAGGTTAGGTTACTCAGAACCTTTTTTGTTTTTAATCTATTTTTTTTTATTCACTAATAGACTTTGAGGTTCGCATGGAGACAAAACATTCGGTGAATAAAAAAACGTCAACCGGGTTTAACCGTTACACGATACATATTTTGAAATTAAGCCTGGGGGTTTAGCGGTAAAAGCGAGATTCTGCCCGACATAAAACAAATACTAACAAAACAATACAATGTAATGCCTTTGTAATTTGAAACTAAAATTTTACCGCGCAGATCCGTATGAATTTACGGTATTTCGTATGTATATGATCAAACTGGGTGTGAGTATTTATAGCAACGATTTTTTTTAGATAAATCCAAATATCGCACAACAAGAGTACAAATATTTTTGTAAGTGGGTTAGCGACTCAGGTGTTTCTAGTTGATGTATACAATATTGTATCAATCATTTTTTAGTTTATAAAAGTTACACAATATTTCACTTTTTCCATTTGGGTTAAAACGTTAGTAATAAAAATATTTATTATTTATACAAAAATGGTTTTATTTTTTTCAAATGAAAATAATGCATGAAATAACATAAATATATTATACTTAGGATTTTTATTTTTTTGCTAAAAAAAAATATTTTCTATAAGTGTTTGGTATATATATAATATATGTATATTATTATATGTGGAACAACGTGATTACTTTAATAAAAATTAAAATCGAAAACCTTAGAACAAAGGTTAGGTTTAAATTATATAATAAAACCATTTTTTTAGTGCTTAAAATGTAATAAAATAATGGTTTTTGTACTTATACATTTAAATACAACTAAATCATTCCAATCAATGTCGGTTGTTCATCGATAAAACATTTTAACGTCTCCAAACAATAATATTATTGTAAATCAGATTGCACACTGAATACGTTGAGTTCTAAACATTGTATATTTTGGCTTCTGAAAGTTGAAACTCTTATTGATATAATTAACATGACATTAAAAAAACACTGGTAATTTATATGTCACACACAGCAGTTAGAAAATGATAATATTTTTAAAATGTTTTTAAGTGATGAAAACAATTTTTTTTAAAACTAATAAAATTACATACATGTTGATTTTTTGTTTTACAATTAATGAATTTTTCAAAAATGTCAAGTTGTTATTTGTTTTTAACGGTTGGAGAATATATTGTATCATATTACTTCAAACAAATGTTTGTACAATTTCATGAAAATAAATGTTTATTGAATACTTGTTCATAGAAAATTTGAGATCCAAGTATTTCAAACCATTTTTTAAAATCAATATTAAAATAAATTATAAATTTGTACTATGTTATGGTATCTGTTATTGTATTTTAATTCTTGGATTTTTGTTTCATAATTTTCAAATTTAAAACAGTTTTAACTATTTTTTGTGTTGTCTAATATATATATATTAGACTTTGAATTTCATTAAAACAAAAAAACATGTACCTACTATTTGAATAATTTTAATGTTATTATTCAATACAGTAGTATTGCTTTGTTCATTAATAAACAATAAACATTAAATAATAAATCATTATTTAAACATGTATTTGGAATTTTGGAAATTAAATATGCTGCCAGTTATATGAATATTTTTTTGTTGCACAACTTGATTGTTTGTGTAATAATATAATATGCGTTCATTCGGTGTACTCGTAGTAGGTGGTGTTTTTGTCAGATGTGCAGTAAAATGCACAACGGAATCGTATAATTAAAATATGATGAGGGATTAATTTTAAATCCACTGATTCCACAGGAGTTATGTGTAATACGCATTTATCAACTAAGCCATACTATATAAATTGTTAAGTCGTAGAATATTATTATTCATCCTACAGTAGTAATTTCAAATAGTATTGAAAGTGTCAAAAAAAATAATGATATGATAAATATATTATTTTTTGTTTGTATACTTTTCTTTAGTGGACATTTTTAAGTGGAAAAGTATTGTAAATCGAAAAGTCAATATCTAAATTTATGTTTTTCGGATTGATGAAATCAAATTTTTTCTGGCACCAAATGTTTTGTGGCAACCAATTCTATTACATAGTTGGGCAGTTAAAAAAAAAGGAAATGTCTGTAAGAATTCAAAAAGTTGTTGACGGCTCATCTTTTGAAAAAGTCAAAGTAAAAGAAATTCAAGTTTTACAAGTTGATGGAAATCTTGTGTTATTTCATATATTTAAGAGTTATATCAATATATTAGATTTATTTTACTAAACATTCAAAATCTGCTTTTAAAAAACTACTTATCATACAACACCCTGTGTTACTTGAGTATGTGAGTTCTAGTATCCACGTACCACTTTTAAATTATTGTTAAATCGTTTTGCCAAAAATTCAATTATTCTCTCTGTAGTGTCTTTTTTTTTTAATACTCTTAGCTTTTGGCTTTACTATACATAGCGATTTACATAAATACCTATAATATTAGCATATGAATATTGAATGATATGTTCCATTCCGTCGTCCTCTGTGGTTATTACTTATTTGCATTAGTGGCCGCTGTTAGTAATTGTAAATAACTAACAACCGTTAATGCAGTATTTCAAACTGATTACAGCAGTTTGAAACCGGATGTCTAATTGATACTTACCTTTAGATTTTTAGATTTCATCAATTTACCTCTCAGTTTGGTTATACAAATATATTTTTTTTCGTACTAAATTCCCAATTAGACATATGTCTATTAAAATTTAACATTTTCAAGTGTAAGAAACCGTAGGATCTATCTTTTTATTTTTTTGAGTATCCGGACTCCCAATGCTACAATAAATAAATACACGTAAAAAATATGTATTTCAAATTTTATTAGTGTTGGTTTTTTAAAATTTTGGGATATTTTCTTTAATCCTACACAATAGCTTATATTAGAGGTTTTGGTGGCGAACATATTATACTCGTACAAACATCATATAGAACTATTCGACGCTTCAATGATTTTCCAACAATAATATAATATCCACTATAATATGTCAAATGTGACAATGAATCTTTTGTTGTCGAATGCTATTCTGTACGTATACGAAAAGAACCCCCCTCGAACACAGCTTGTGCTTTGTACAGTGATATTTTTTTTTGAAAATACCATTAAAATCGTATATCCGAAAATGAAATAGCATTATCTAAAAAAAAATCTTCAAACGAGAGTACAAAATTGAATATGGGCTTTTGTAACCGCGAAAAAATGTATATTTGGTTTTAAAATAATTTTTGTGGACTTTTTGATTAATTAAAATTATTTATGAAAATTCAATAACTGGTTTTCTATTTGAAATTATTTTTTCAAATAACTCAGACCGCTTGTCTTTTTTTATTTTAATGTTAAAAAAATGATTAACTAATTACAAAACTAGGTAGGTAAAGTATATCATAAAATGGCATCATAATATGTAAATTTATGAAATGAAATAACTCGGACATAAAACGTTAAAATCAAGTTAAGTGTCACGTTGTTTCTATATTTATTAAGGAATGGACATTAAAATGTTATATTATACTGATATTAACATAACAACGGCACGCTTAAAAAAAATAAATTATTACCATTGAGTATATATTGTACAATATAATTTATACTCAATGTTATTACTTACAACAGCTGTTATTTTTATAGTTGTATAAAAAACATGTTTCTCGAATTCTCGAGTTTTAATGATTTTTAACAGTATAGATAAAAAAGATAAAAAATAAGTATATTTTTTTTGTTATAAGACAACCATACTTATGATGTTATAAAGCGTAAAGAAAGTCGGGTGTTAAAAAGACAAATTTTTTGTACACCAAATTTGGTGTACAGAAAATTTGTGCAATGAAACGCCACCGATGTAGTTAGAGTTATTATAATTCAATATAATAGTACATTGTACATAAAACTAAACATATGCAACTACTAGCTTACGATGTTTGTATAGATTTCTTTTTTGTAATATTTAAAAGTCTTTCTTAAAGTATTTTTTCGCGGTATGTGTAGGAAAAAATATTGATAGTAATTATAATTAAAAAAAAAAAACACTTTATTATGCTGCGCTTGCCACTACTGCGGCGTGTGAAATACATAAAAAAAGATTGAGCGATAAACCCAAAACTTTGGCACCGCTTCTATACACATTACACATGTAATAATATATTCGTATTTATCTGTTAGGAACTACGGTCATTAAAAATGTTCAATATAGGGTATTCAAAAATAAATGTTTAAACGTTTAAAAATACAAACAAACGACAGAGTTCATCGACCCTGTCGGTGAGCACTATTAATGAAAAGGCACGTCTAGATATTTATAGTGTTTGTGTATCAGTGTTGAGCGTATAATCGATTACTTTATGATTAAATTACGTAATCGATTACAACAATGTAATCATGATTAAATTAATCATTAATCATTTAATCATTTCGTAAAAGTAATCAGTAATCATGATTACATTTTGTAATCATAATCATCGACCATATATGATTATTGTAATCATGAAATGTTTGAAAAAAAATTGTTTAACCGCCCCAGGCTTTCCCTAAAATATATAATATATAAGTGTTCCACAATGATTTAACCTTTGTAATCCCTTGGAAAAATTTGTTTTTTAAATTCTGCTTTATCTAAATATTTTGTTAGCCAACAAGAAGTTTATTTATATTTTATTGGAATAAAAAAATATTCCAAAAAATTTAGATAAAATGCTGATTAAAAATAAAATTGTCTAGATGATTTTGCAAAGGTCAAATCGTCGTAGACATCCCATATATTTATTTAAAGAAGTTCAAGACTTGCGTGGGCTGGTCATGCATGGAGGGCTGATGGTTCCCTTACAAAGATGGTTATGGTAAATCAAATAGATCGGAAAAGACCAAGGGGACGTCCAAGATGACAAAGATGGTTTGATGTTGTTAAGAAAGATCTGGAGATGTTAAAACCGGATTAGAACGGAAACTTGGATCTTGGAAACTTACGCAAAAGAAGTATGGGGTGAATTGGTTTGAAAAGCAGAGCCTAAATGGCTCGAAAAAGTTAAAAAAAAAATATGTAATAAAGAATACGCCCTAGGTTAAAAAAATATTATCATTAATGATTTCACGATTACAATTGAAAGATTAATGTAATCATAATTACAAATTAATGATTAATATAATCATAAGTATAATCATGATTACATTGATCTAACACTATGAGTACTGATTACAATTATTAATCGTAATCATTAATCATTAATCAGATTACAATTTGCCCAACACTGTTGTGTATGAGCACACCAAATATACAACACCAATTATAATATTATATTGTCATGGAACAGACGCATGGATCGATGAGGAGAATATTATAATAATATGAATTTTAAATATTTCAATAGCACCAGTGAGAATAAGTCAACTGTACATGGACGAGTACACACAATGACCTACATAATAAAATAAAAAACTACCATAATTGAAATGGAAATGTATTTTAAAATGTATTCAAGGGTACGTCATGCTCGTATCAAATACCTTTAATCGCTTTGGTAAACACGCGTTTGGTAGACCGAGAGTAGTACTCAACAATACACAATAGTGGTGTACCGAAATGAGTTTTATTGGAAGTTGCTCTGTTAAGTTAAGCATAGTGAATAACTCTGGCGAAATATTCCAGTTAAAAATGTTTTATATATTTCTACTTTCTAAATATAAATGAAAAAAATACAATAAATGATTAGGTACTAGAGTGGCTGTCATTTTTGTCTTCATCGTAAATAGATTTCAAACTAATAAAAATAAATACCTTTATTAAACCATACCCATTATCACTTCAATTCAAATTTCCTGCGAGAATACGTCTTGTAGACATGATCATTTATTTAACATAATTTTAGGTTCTACAAAAAACATTTATACTTGAGTATACTAAATTTATGTACACTAGTTTACACTAAATTCTGATAAAACAAAAATATTATGTCTAAGCATACACTTTCAATAATAACAATTATTTTGAAAATAAAAACGTTTCTAAGTTTTTTAAAAAAAATGAAGTAAATAACTTCAAAATTAAGTTCAGCTGCTTAAATTTGACTTTAGTAGAGTTTTCAACAACCAGAAATACATGTATGGTAAAAAAAAACAACAGAAAAATCGTTTAGGATCATAGTTGGGTCAATGCCTTACTGCTTGCTAAAAAAGGGAGACAAAAGGATAAAAATTAAAAAAACAATTTGTTTACTCTTTGAACCCGATTTTCCTAGCTCAAATATAATTTGTTTTCAATAAACCTATAAAAGAACAACTTCATTTCCAATTTTGCAACAGAAATAATTCTGTGTATTCTTAACATGTATGTAATATGCCAGTAATTATACCAATCGATTTAAGTATTCAAAAAAGTTTAGTAGCAGAAAAAAATGTTTAAAAAATATTCTGACAAATGTCGTTAAATACCATTATTTTTAATGAAATATTATAAAAACATATTATTGTTATGTGATATAGATTATAAGAAAAATGATCGATCCAGTGTTTTTCAACACTTTATCAAATGTTTATATTTTAATCATAGATTTATTTTCGGAAATAAAAAGTTGGTCATTGATGGTACATCAATCATCGGTTTAATAGAGGCGTGTATGTATATATGTATATTTTACAAAAAAAAAGTTAAAAATCTGTTTCAGCAAGAGATATATAGTTTGACATATAGAAATTTGAAGTACTAAGTTCTCTTCTTAGAATGTCTATAAAAAAGAAAAATGTATTACAAAGAAGTAGAATGGTTTGAGACACTCGAAAGAGATATTATGCATTTCATTATTATATTATCTATTCAAATAAATAATTTTTTAATCGACAAAAAGTATACTCACAAGCAATACACTTTTGGTTTTGATTTTTTTCTTTGTTATTTGGTTTTGTAGCGTGACGACAAGAATGTGTTTCCACTTTGACTGCTGCCTAAACATAATATAAATAAAATCTTCATTAGTTAAACGTTAACGTGTACTAAATACAGTCAAACAATAATAATTACATTTAATCGGTAAAATATTAGTGACCGTATATTCATCATCATCATGTAGCTTAACGGGCAATGAAGGCCCAACGCTGCCATCATGAGATGGTTTCTTGACGAATTCGCTTCCAGGACGGGTCGTCAATCCGTCGCCGGAGAGGGGGATGGCGGTTCCTTTTTACCGGACGATTGCTCGCCCAGCAAACGGAGCGCCTGTGACCGAGTGTCGAACCGACGACAGTGAGCGCTAACACACTGCCGCCTTACCCACTCGGCCACTCCTCCTCTTACCGTGTATTACTTTTATAAATTCGTCTAGAAACCATCTTATGATGCCAGCGTTGGGCCTTAAAGGCCTGTTAAGATGATGATGATAAATACATTTATAGGTAGCTTAGAGAAAAATATGAGCATTGATACTTTTTTTGGCACATTTATACGTGCATCACGTATCAATAATTGGGTTGATACTTGATAGTATATTATTAAATAATTTTAAAATAAACATTTTAACAGTAATTTATTTAACAAATTTTGATTTTTTATTATTATAAATAATATTAGTATTATTTAATATTATAGGAAATAAAACATATCCGCCTGAAGTTTTACACTTTTTAAGTATGCCACATGTATGCTTGTTTTAATTCAATAAAAAATACATAGTCAACTTAATAATTGTACACATGTATTCATTATTAGCTATCAGTTTTTTTTAAATGATAATTTGTAGATAAATTATTATTAATGTATTAAGTAATGATACAGAGGCACGTAATAAATGAGATAAAGTAAATGTATGAATAGAGATGGTTAACGGCAAAAGAAGAAAAATTATACTTGGTATTGTTAAAAACATAACATTTGTATTGGATCTATTATTACGCGAGTTGTGTATTAATCACGGGAGGAATTGAAGGGAAAAGTGCGAGTCCTGAGGAGATTAATGTGTTACGTGAGCAGAATTACTAACGAGAAATATGTGACTATACGTATATATGTAGCTTAATGATGTACTTGTTGTCATATAAAGAGGTTTCATTGAGTACTTTTTTTTGTGCTATATACTTAAAAGTATTTTTTTCCTCGGTAAACCGATGACATTGTTTGTTTGATAAAACTTTTTTTTTCAAAATAAAAATCATTTTTACAACAGTTATTGTATTATACTTAAATTGGAAAATGACAATACGTTTTAAATGTTTTCCAATAGTTAAAAACAAAAAACCTGATATAATTTTGCATAAAACAAAAAAATGTAATAAATGTTTTTTAAAATGTTTCACACATAAATATTTTTTCTTAAACGTTTGAGCATTAAACAAACATAATAATTTTTTAGGCGATATTTGGGTTATTGTTAAAAAATATAACCCATTTTTTATCTTTATGAAGAACGTTTGTGTAAAGAATAAATATAATTTACATTCTGGTTTAACAGTTTTGTGAATATATTTAAAAAAAACGAAATCACTACCCAAAAACTGGTTTTAAACCTTGCCTTCAACGCTAAAAACGTTTTGTTAACATTTTAAATATATCTGGATTATTCTAAAAGATTCAATAAGATCAAAAACATTTATATGTATAATAGTAGTAATATTTTGGGATATTATACAATTTTATAATTTACTTAAATAATTACTTTTTTATGTTTTCAAATATGGTAATACCTACAGGCGCGTGCAAAGTTGTAATCATATGTATAATAATTATTTTCTTCTGACTCAGACAACAAACATATTCATATTTATGCTAGTGTTATTTCATTATTATAAGTGCGGTAAATCAAACTGAGCTTTGTCTGCAGAGGCTAAAGCTGTATAAAGTATTATAATAAGTTACTTCGAATATAACTAATAATTATACATATACATAATATATTGACTCAATGTGAACTGTTGTAAACAATTTACCAAGTTTATAATATATTAAATAGGAACAACAAATAGTTATACTCATATCTCATATGTGGTGATCGTATAATATTATGACCTAGTTTGTTTTGTTTAAATTATTACGGTCTTATAAATACTTATGTCGACAGGAAACAAACTTAGTAGAATAAAAAAAATATATGAGCTTTCAAGCCAGAACAAAAGTTTTGCAAATTCTTATAATTTGTATGTTTCTGTGTTTGAATTTTCCATTTAAAACTCAGTTGGTTTGATTTGAGACAATAGTTTGCCGTACATGGGACTAACTGTTGGCGGTAAGACATTTTATTCTTTTCAATTGTTTCACTAAGATGTATTTTAGTATTTGAGCCGAGGCTGCGAAGGCAATATTTATGTTTGTCATGAAGGAACGATTCCCTGAGCGGTTTGCACTACAGCGGTTCAAACACACTGCGTGTGAAACTTCAGATATTTGTGGTGTTTTGTTAAATGCCATTTTCAAATAACACTTACATTTGAAGCACACATTATTTACGGGATGCATTTTGTGATGTAATATAACTTACATAATAGGTAATTACAAAAAGAAAAAAAACAAAATTTACGTTAAGATGGAAAAATATTATATATTGTTTTTAAATATCGTTTTTAGTTATAAACAGTTTACAACATTTTTTTTGGATTGTAGTGCGCCGTTGAACAAAGAGTTTCCAAGTAAATTTTAATAAAAATAAGGCTGGATTGTTTTAAGTGATAAATAATGTGTAAAGAGGTAATGCTGAATACTCAGAAGAGTAGGATTATGTTTTCTAAGGATAAAGAATAATCTTAGTCTTATGTACAGGTATATTTTATGTTGCGCGAAATTAATTAACTTTTCTATGATGTTCAAAGACTTAAGAAAACCTTTTAAAAGGTCTCAACGAGATGTTTTTATGAAAATTAAAAAATTACAAACTATAAGGATTGCAAAAAAACTGGATAGATGTTAAAATCACTTTCACAAAAACACTGCATTTCGGTTGTGTATACGGTAAGAACGTTGGTTCAACTCACTATTATAACCAATACGTGTACTGCGTATTGACTTAAAAATCGTAACACAGTTAAAACAGTCCATAATATACTTAGCTCTATAACAGGAGTACTAATTATCTTGTGATATTTAGTGTCACAAAATATTTTGTCATGTTATAATGAAATGCGGGGTATTTTTAAATAATGTGTTTTGAGAATAACGTCTGAAACCAAAAATTAATGATAACTAAATCAAATTTACATTTTAATATATTTTAGAGAAACTGGAAAGTTTTCAAAATATAAAAAGCCTACGATTTAATGTCAATCTATGGGTTAACTTTGTGTTTAATTAAAAAAGCCAATTTAGTTGTGTGTGATGTTTGGTATACTGTAAAATTAATGTTAGACAGTAGCCAGTGTAATTTACCTTCATAATTAACAAAAATCGTAGACCGTATTTGTTACTCGAATCCTTAAAACTTATTTTAATCTAAAAAATTTTAGTGTAGTAGTAAGCATTATTATGTAAAGATACTGTAATTAAACATAACTCTATCCGTAATTATATTACGGTTGATCGATTCAAATAGTTACAAACATTCGAAGAGATAAATGTTTTTTGTTTGTTGTTCGTTTTTTTAATAAAAATCGTCAGATTGTTAGGTTAAAAAGTAAATAGGTTAATTAAAAATCATTAATTTGTAATAAAAAATCGTGATTTTCAGGTAAGTAAAAACTAATATTTGTTCTTTATAAATATACTGAAAATACTATTTCAAAATAAATAACATTCTCTAGGCAAATGGTTTGAATTTTATTGTGTACGTATAAATGTCATATACCATGTGCCGGTTCCCTTGTGCATTAAATTTCCACAGACTCTTTTGGGGATACTGGCGCCAAGAACAAATTGTTCAAACGATCAATCACAACGAACACACACAGTCCTTCACACCATTAATTTTCCTATTTTTATAAGAAAAAAACACTGTATGCACGACTCGGTACAGTTGAACATAACGGACGGACTTTGATAACGATTTATTTCAACAGATGTACATTGTTTCACGTTGAATATTAAAATTCTACTCATAGCAACCGATTTAATTCGGTCTTTACAGGGAAAAATTTCGGATACAGCGTGCCATTATGCATTCTATTGTTTTAGTTTTCAAAAAAAAGTGTGATAGCTTTTGTTTCTGATAATTTTAAAATATTCGAAACATCAAAGGTTTTCCTGAAAACTATGGTTGGTCTATACGCGTTCACCGATACTAATTTTTTTTATTTACTTAGTTAAAATATTGTAAACATTTACATAATATTTAAACAATATTTTGCAATAAATATTTAAAAAATTACATTTCTGGCAAAAAATGATTATAAATAATTTTTTAATTATTAAAACAATCCTTATAGACATTTACATTTTTGCCCTTCGAGTTTTTAATAACATAATTACCACAGAAGTCAGAACATACTGAAATTCATTTAAACCACCACACCGACAAGAGAATTCAATTAATTACAATTATTTATTTAATTAAATATTAAGTGTTGTAATTGTTCAGCGACTTATAATAGGTGAAAAAAAGTATCTTAGCAATAAATGCTTAGGTTAAAAAAGTAGCAAACATGAGTAGTAAATGAGTTCTTTTGTAAAATGATTCCTTATGTATAAAAAAAAATGTTGTATTCCTACTTTAAATTTGAGTTATAATTTTAACTAACTGTTAATTTTTGGGATAAAGGGTATGGAGTGTTCTATTAAAATGTCAAAGAGAAAAATATGTACACAAACAAATTGCCAAATATGAAATGTTTGAAATGTTGTTTCATAATTTCGAAAAATAAATAAAATACACAAAACACAATTTAGCACTTATTGGATTTGAACTTTATTGGCCAATGTCAATTTTTATTAACGAAATAATTTAGAAATCAAACAAATAAATTAAAAAAACTACGATCTTTAGACTAAAATCGAAAAAGACAATATGACTTAGGTTTATATCAGTGGTTAG